TGTTGCCCAGACTGGAGTACAGTGGCATGATCATAGCTCACTGGAGCCTCGAACTGGGCTCAAGGAATCCTCCCTCCTCAGCCTCCAAAGTAGCTGGGACTACATGCATATGCCAATGTGCCCAGCTAATTTTTAAACATTTTTTATGGCCAGGGGCGGTGGCTCATACCTGTAATCCCAGCACTTTGGGGGGCCAAGGCAGGCAGATCACCTGAAGTCAGGAATTCAAGACCAGCCTGACCAACATGGTGAAACCCTGTCTCTAAAAAAAAAAAAAAGAAAAAGAATTTTTAAAAAAAATTTTTTTAGAGACAGGATCTCACTATACTGCCCAGGTTGGTCTCAAACTCCTGGACTCAAGTGATCCTTTCACCTCAGCCTACTGGGTAGCTGGGATTCCAAGTATGAGCCACCTTGCCAGCCACATCAGATTCTTAATGACTTCACCAGGCCCACCCGTCATCAGTTGTGGCCACAGAGGCAGAGGGGTCTGCATGAGTCATTCCTGTGCACACTATTGAGGCATCTGCTGGCCTCATTCCTCATCCCTAAATGTCGACTGAGCACATTCCATCCCTCAGACATTATGTTGGTATGCTTTTTCACTATAATGAGAAAAGGCTCATTTTGCTCCCTTTAGTAATGGGCACAGTAGCAGTGAATGTAAGGTCTTTCAAAAAAAAAAGAGGCCATGTGTAGTGGTTCATACCTGTAATCCCACCACTTTGGGAGGCCAATTTGGGAGGATCAGTTGAGACCAGGATTTTGAGACCAGCCTGGGAAACACTGCAAGACCCCATCTCTGCAATAAATACAAAAACTAGCCTGGCCTGATGGTGCCAGTACTCAGGCGGCTGAGGCAGGAGGATTGCTTGAGCCCAAGAAGTTGAGGCTGTAGTGAGCCCAGATTGCACCACTGCACTCCAGACTGGGGATAGAGTGAAACCTGTCTTAAAATACATAAATAAATAATTAAAAATAGCCTGCCCATTGTGGCTTATGCCTTTAATCCCAGACTCTGGGAGGCAGAGGTGGGAGGATCACTCGAAGTCAGGAGTTTGAGGCCAGCCTGGCCAACATGGTGAAACCCCATCTCTACTAAAATTACAAAAATTAGCTGGGTGTGGTGGTGCATGCCTATAATCCCAGCTCCTTGGGAGGCCAAGGCAGAGGAATCACTTGAACTCAGGAGGCAGAGGTTGCAGTGAGCCAAGATCATGCCACCAAAGTTCTGCTACCGTCTCAAAAAATAAATTAAAAAAAAATTTTCTTAAAAGGAAGAGGAAGGCCAGGCGTGGTGGGTCACACCTGTAATCCCAGCGCATTGGGAGGCCAAGGCGTGTGGATCACCTGCGGTCGAGAGTTCGAGGCCAGCCTGACCAACATGGTGAAGCCCTGCCTCCACTAAAAATACAAAATTAGCCATGCAAGGTGGCGCATGCCTATAATGCCAGCTATTTGGGAGACTGAGGCAGAAGAATTGCTTGAGCCTGGGAGGCAGAGGTTGCGGTGAGCTGAGGTCACGCCATTGCACTCCAGCCCGGGCAGCAAGAGCAAAACTCCACCTCAAAAAAAACAAAAAAGGAAGAGGAATCTTGGTCACATGGCCACACCTTACAAAAATTCAGGAAAAACTGAACACCCGAGCCTCATGGCAAGTCAGAATACTGCTCACAGTCATGCCTGGAGGAGCAGGAATGTGGTTTGGAAACTGGAATATCATTCTCCACCTATGAGTTCTAGAAACAGATCTCTCACTTGCAACAGCGGCTCGATGTTCTGTGCTCCTAGGCGCTGCTGTTAAGGCTTAATTGCTCTGTCTCTTCCTGTTTCTGCAACCAATTTACTCAGTCTCTTGACATGCAGAACTCTCCCACAAGGAAAACTGCAGGGCTGGGTGATCACTGCTATGGGTCCTGAACCAAGGTGATGAGTTAGGCCTCTCAAGCTGTCCTTGGGTGACTGAGCTTCCCTAGACCACTGAGCTGTGTTTGGAGGTGTGGGGGAAAGCAAGCTGACAGGTGCTGACCCTGGCCTCTAGACACACCCAGCCAGGTGCTGACTAGTTAATCCTGGCTTGATTCAGCTGCCACCCTCACAACAGGGTGAGACGTTCATGTGAGACGTTCATAATTAGAAGCAGCATTGTTCTGGGAGAACAACAGATGCCTGTTGTCTCCCCACTTCACTGGGCCTGGTATCCAAGGGAAAAGCTTCTACTGTCCATGGTCCCTGTGGTGATGCCACTCCCTCTGCTGGTCCCCAAACATCCTGTTTCCCCACTTTATGACCTTTTTCCTTAACGTTTCTCAAGCATTCTGCCTATTTTAGTACCTTGTTTTGTTTATGATTTGTCCTTGTCCTCTAAAATGTAAGCACAAAGCAGGGATTTGCTTTTTGCCTGTTTTGTTTAGCAGTTCCTGAATTGTGCCTGCATAGAACTGATACTTGATATGAATGGAAGGAGGGGCGGGGAATCCAGTCTGGGTGGAGGTTCCGCAGGCAAAGGTTTCCTGAAAGAAGTGACCCAGGCTGAGTCAGCCGAGCCTGAAGCAGAGGATGCATTCCAGGCACACGAGCCAGGAAAAGAACATGTTTAGGAGCCTTAAGCAGAAGGGTGGCTGAGGCTTGGGGTGCTTGTGTGAGAAAAGGGTGGACAGGAAGGCCACGGGCAGAGTGAGGAGAGCCTCGCGTGACTGTCTGGAGAATGGGAAGTCTAGGCTAGAGGCTGAAGGCAGGGTCGGGTGAGGGTGGCAGAGGGCAGAAGGACCTAAGAGGCTGGGCCAGCGATGAGGACCACTTTCAATTAGAAAGGAAGTTCCGAAGAGCGAGAAGAGCTGTCCTTATCAGCACTTCCTGTGTGCCAAGTGCTATGCTAAGAGCTTCTAACCCAGAAGTTCACCGACCTTCACATCCAGCCTGCAACCACTAGATGCATGAGAACAGGGTAATAAATGAGGGAACCCTCCACAAATCAACCAGTCTGGCTTAGTAAGGAAATTTTTATCCCAAGGGGCCAGGCCACAGGAAGTGGATATCTCTATAGCTGACACTTTCTTCCCCCAGTGTGGCAATCTCGCCTCTCTCCTTGTTTCTCAGTACTCTATCACCGTCACCTCCTACAGAACAAACTAAACAGGCGTAAGAGACCCCTGGGTTGCAGGATTGATGTAGTGGGTCAAGAAGACCATGAGAGAGAGAGAGAAAGAGAGGTGAGAAATTAAAGAAGGGAGTCGGGTGTAGACACTGCTCCTATTAGCTGACAGGAACCTGCTTAGCAGTGAGAGGGTCAGTCAGTTTGCTAAGACAGGTCTACCAACTCAAGGCACCAACCAGTGTAAAACTTCACTAAAAATAGTGGACTCAGAAAAGGGGAGAACTTTGGCCCCCTTTCCTTTGTGGGGGAATGTGGTCATTTCTCACTAAAGGACAAGGGCCACAGTTGAATAAAACTGGCCAGAGAGGGGCTGAGACAGGTGGGGGGGAATCTTCAAGAGAGAAATGGGAGGTGTCAGGTGGTCCTTGGGTAGGAATTAAGGAGAAGGGCAATGCAGAAATAAGGCCCTCGCCAGAAACGGCTGGCAGAGTGGACTCGTCAGCTCCCCAGAGTGTCTCCTGCTGGCAGAGGTCATCAGAGGTGCCTGACAACCTGGTTTCCCTCAACTCTAGTCAGTGATTTTTCATTTCTTTTTTTTTTTTTTTTTTGAGAGAGTCTTACTCTGCTGCCCAGGCTGGAGTGCAGTGGTGCAATCTCTGCTCACTGCAACCTCAGCCTCCTGGGTTCAAGCAATTCTCCTGCTTCAGCCTCCTGAGTAGCTGAGATTATAGGCACCTGCCACCATACCCCACTAATTCTTGTATTTAGTAGAGATGGGGTTTCACGATGTTGGCCAGGCTGGTCTCGAATTCCTGACCTCAAGTGATTCGCCTGCCTCAGCCTCCTAAAGTGCTGGGATTACAGGCGTGAGCCACCATGCCCAGCTTGGTCACAGTGATTTCTATTTCTTTTTTTTTTTTTTTTGAGACGGAGTTTCGCTCTTGTTACCCAGGCTGGAGTGCAATGGCGAGATCTCGGCTCACCACAACCTCCGCCTCCTGGGTTCAAGCAATTCTCCTGCCTCAGCCTCCTGAGTAGCTGGGATTACAGGCACGTGCCACCATGCCCAGCTAATTTTTTGTATTTTTAGTAGAGACGGGGTTTCACCATGTTGACCAAGATGGTCTTGATCTCTTGACCTCGTGATCCACCCGCCTCGGCCTCCCAAAGTGCTGGGATTACAGGCGTGAGCCACCACGCCCGGCCCAGTGATTTCTATTTCAATTGAAGCAGTGGGACCAACTGACTCCAACTTTTTACCATGGCCTTTGGGAGCGTTCCTGTGTGTGAAATACTCCTGAAAAATGAGGAAAGAGTAACATGTGCAGGTGGTGATATACATGCACACTGGGCACATCACTGCGATCTTTGCGACCAAGATAATCTCCAAAGACCAAACCTAACTCATGCTAACAGAAGCCCCAACAGTTGGCATTGCCTGCCACCCACCCCCCATCCCCAGCTCTCCAAAGGCAGCTGTTCCTCATACACTCCACTGTCTCCTCTGCTCAAAACCGACTCCTAAATCCATTCACCTGCAATCCACCAGCTGAACTCAGGGAACTTGCATTTCTCAAGGACTCCAGCCCCTGCCTCCATCTCTAAGTCACTCCATCATAGTTTCTCTCCCAAAGACCTGGCTCAAATGTCCCCTTTTGCTCCTAAACCTGAATCCACCCACCCCCAGATGCACTTCGGATTATGGTTCAACCCCAGTTGAACATTCCCTAGGTGTGTATTAAGGGGAAAAACTCAATGAGTGAGAACCAGAAGACTTGCCCTTGTGACCCACTTTCTCTACACCCAGCCTTGCTGGCACATGGAGATACTGATAAAACACACACACACACACACACACACACACACACACACACACACTCTCACACACAAATCAAAGACCAAGTAGCAGGGCATGTTTCAAGATTTATTAAGTGGGTGAGAGGACAACGGTCCAAAGCACAGAACAAGTCAACAGGACCAAATTCTTGGTTTTCAGAAGTTACACCAGGTGGAGGTGGGAGGACACGGAGGATGGCCACTGGATGGCCTGGCCTGGATGGAAGAAAACCAGTCTTCCTGGGCCATGGGTCTCTATGGCACTGGCAGAGCAGAGCCAGCTGAAGAGGCTTCAACTCTGGACCCCAAGTCCCCAGAGCCACAGGGCTTTTCCTCTGCCCACTCACACTGAGGGAAAAGTCGATCCATGTTGTGCTGGAGGCAACAAGGGCCAGAAGGTCTGGCCGTGCATCACGGGGTGACATCACTCATCACTCTTGGCTATGCCAGTGTCTGCTATCAACCCCAAACAATCTAAAGGAGAAGTCAAATGAAGTCAGCAGTTTGGAATTTCCACTTTGGAAACACAGGCTGACTTAACCTCTTGGCATTCACTTACCATGAGGAGGTCCCTCCAGGGAGCTGGGTCCGCAGGTCACTGTCCTGAGAGGCTCAGTGCCTGCACCTCTTGGGGTTTCCTCCAACAGTCTCCAGCCCAAGGTGACATCCCTAGAGTGAAGAGAGGCCACAGAGCAGGAAGCTACAAGTTCTTTGTCTCCAGTGTTCTGTCATCTTTCCTCAAGCTGATGTCAATGGGAATGCCCCCAGTTAATCAATCAGTTATGAGTTGCCAGCTTTTTCATACCAAACTCATCTCAAAAAGGAATCTCAATGCTCTCAAAGAATAGCCAAAATAAAAACTGTCTTAAGAGTCTCGATGGGCAACCAAGGAGATGTGCAAGTGGCAGAGAGACAGCTGAAGACCTCTCAGGGCCCTCCCATGGTGTCCCACCTCGCCTGCTGGGAGCCAAGGACCGCCCCAGCAGCTGTCCCTCCATGCTCTCATTACTTGTCTGAACATCTGTCTCCCTGGTGGGACTGGACACGCTTGCTCCCCCCAGCCTCAAAGGCCTTCTCACATAGCTACCCCTCCCTGGAATACCTTTCTATTGCCCATCACATCCCACTCCTTGACAGACCTGCCCAGGCCCATCACCTCCAATGGGCCGCTTCTCTTTGAAAATCTTAAGGCAGTGACTATATGCCACCCAACATCACACTTCGTTAAAAATAATTCATGGGCCAGGCGCAGTGGCTAACGCCTATAATCCTAGCACTTTGGGAGGCCAAGGCGGGTGGATCACAAGGTCAAGAGATCGAGACCATCCTGGTCAACATGATGAAACCCGTCTCTACTAAAAAGACAAATATTAGCTGGGCATAGTAGTGCGTGCCTGTAATACCAGCTACTCCGGAGGCTGAGGCAGGAGAATTGCTTGAACCCAGGAGGCGGAGGTTGCGGTGAGCTGAGATTGCGCCATTGCACTCCAGCCTGGGTAACAAGAGTAAAACTCCGTCTCAAAAAAAAAAAAAAAAAAAAAGGCTGGGCGCGGTGGCTCACCCCTGTAATCCTAGCACTTTGGGAGGCCAAGGTGGGTGGATCAGGAGTTCCTGAGGTCAGGAGTTCAAGACCAGCCTGGCCATCATGGTGAAACCCCATCTTTGTATTAAAAAAAAAAAAAAAAATTTATAAAAAATAATTAAAAAAAATAAAAAATAATAATAATTCACGGCTGGGCACAGTGGCTCATGCCTGTAACCCCGGCACTTTGGGAGGCCGAGGTGGGTGGATCATAAGATCAGGAGATGGAGACCATCCTGGCCAACAAAGCGAAACCCTGTCTCTACTAAAATGCAGAAAATTAGCCAGGCATGGCAGCTTGCACCTGTATTCCCAGCTACTTGGGAGGCTGAGGCAGGAAAATTGCTTGAACCAAGGAGGCAGAGGTTGCAGTGAGCTGAGATCTCACCACTGCACTCTAGCCTGGGCCACAAAGCGAGATTCTGTCTCAAAAAAAAAAAAAAAAAAAAAAAAAAAAAAAAAAAAAAAATCAAAACAAAACAAAACAATTCACTCTGGGTCTTTCCACCATCTAGTACCTAACTGACAGAGACTGCTCTCTGATAACAGGAGGCTAAGCTGACAAAAGCCACACTAAAGCGTCTCCCTTCGCTCACTCACACAGCAGCCTGCAATGTTCCTGAGACCAGAAGGTGTTAGCCTGAGAGAAGGAGTGTGTGAAAGCGCCAGCATTTGAAAGGGACAGGTGTGAACCCTCCAAACACGGGAAACGGCTTTCACCAATTCCTCTCCCTGCATTATCGATGACCAGAGCACAGGCAGCCCGTGATCATTTTTGAATGCAGGTATACACAAGGCCAGAGAGAGATCCATGAGGAGAAACGGATGCCAGCAGCCTGTGGACTAGGTCCAGTCCAGGAAAACAATCTAGCCACGCACAGGACCCCAAAAGTAGCCCTGCTTGCCTGCAAAAGCCCCATAGAACCTCCCTGCCAGGAGGAATCAAAGAGAAGTTACATGGGGCAAAAACCATGGGAAAATACTCGTTGGTAATGATAGGTATCATGTGGTCTCAGGTACCACAAACGTCACCTCTATTAGAACGTTATTTTCTGGCCAGACGCGGTGGCTCATCCCTGTAATCCCAGCACTTTGGGAGGCTGAGGCAGGTGGATCACAAGGTCAGGAGATGGAGACCACTCTGGCTAACACGGTGAAACCCTGTCTCTACTAACAATAAAAAAAAATAGCCAGGCATGGTGGCATGTGCCTGTAGTCCCAGCTACTTGGGAGGCTGAGGCAGGAGAATTGCTTTAACCTGGGAGCCGGAGGTTGCAGTGAGCTGAGATCGTGCCACTGTACTACAGCCTGCAAGACAGAGCAAGACCCTGTCTCAAATAATAATAATAATAATAATAAAAGACGTTATTTTCCAAATGAAGAAAGCAAGGTTCTGAATCAGTCCTTGATTGGGTAGTGGCAGAAGGCGATTCAAAGCCAGGGGACCAGAGGCTCTAATGCCTAGGACCATTCATTTTCCATTACAACGTCCTGCTGCCCAGAGAGGAAGAGCAGAGACCTCTTATTACCAAAGTGAGACTCTGGAGGTTTCTCCAGAGTAGCAAGCCCTAAAGCACATGAAGGGCCAGAGGTGATCTGGGTTGGCTGGGTGGATGGCGGATCTGGAGACCCACAGTGCCATTCTTATATCACCTCTTAGCTACCCTACATCAACCCCAAAGCCCCTGGGAACATGTACAGGACTGTACTAAATAGAAGGAACCAACATTTCAGAGAAGGAACCAGAGATCTTACCTCAAGGACACTGAGGTCTGGCATGTTTGCGACATGGCAACTTCCATGATGCCTCTGCATACAGTGGATTATCTGCAACAGGTAAGATGCCATGAATGAGCACCAAGCTTGACCTGCTCAGGGATGGCAGGTGACAGGGAAAGGCTGGGCACAGTAGTCACCAGACAGTAAACATTCCTGAGCAAACATACTATTTCCTCATAAAAGAGAAAACAGTTAACTCTACAGAGGAAGACACTGGATGGTCTATGGCGGGGTGGCCAACACTGACCAACGTGTAGTTAATCAGCAAAAGATGGAAAAGGAAATCTAGCCGGGCGCAGTGGCTCACACCTGTAATCCCAGCACTTTGGGAGGCCGAGGCGGGCGGATCACGAGGTGGAGAGATCGAGACCATTCTGGCCAAAATGGTGAAACCCCGTCTCGACTAAAAATACAAAAATTAGCTGGGCATGGTGGTGCACACCTGTAGTCCCAGCTACTCAGGAGGCTGAGGCAGGAGAATCACTTGAACCCAGGAGGCAGAGATTGCAGTGAGTTGAGATTGCGCCACTGAACTCCAGCCTGGTGACAGAGACACCCTGTCTCAAAAAAAAGAAAAGGAGATCAAAACCAGGTTTACAGGAGTGTGCCAGGGCTGAGCAGCAGTGACTCTACTGGTCATCAAGGGGAGTTTAAGCCACACACATAGCCTGGTTCCCAAAAACAGGGAGCAGGAAGTGAAAGCGTTAATGACATAACACACACAGCAGCCCCCAATCCCCTGGACAGCCAGGTGTGTGCAGCGTTGAGAAGCAGGAGTGCAGGAAACTTCCTGGGACACGAAGGTGACAATGTGGACCCTCCAAACACCGGACAACCTTTCCCACATTTCCTCTGCCTGCACTGTCAATGACCAGGACATGGGCAGCCGTGATCACTTACGCATGCAGGCGCAGAAAACAGCGGAGGGTGATCCAGGAACAGAGGCCAAAGCGAGCTGCCTGGAGGTTGCCGAAGCGCCAAGCCCAAAGGACCTGAGTGCTATCCACTTAAAGCAGTACAAAGCTCTATCTGCCCCCATCAAGAAAGTCACAGAAGACGAATTTCTGGTAAAAATGCCTAAATTGTTAGCTCCTCCTACAAATACTGAATATCTGCAGGTAGCAAGACATCATGGGTTCAAAAGCAAAAAAAAAAAAAACCCAAAAAACAAAAAACGTGCAAGGCCTCTCCCCTCACAAAGCTTTTGCAGTTTCCTTACCTTACAGAAAGCCAAGCTCAGGAAAATGAAAGAACTTAGCTAGGCTGGCCTCTACAACCGGCTTTGCCAGACAGTTCTCGGAATTCATGACCATGCCCTTTGCTGGGGTTCCCCAAGGGAAATCTGAAGTGTCCCTCCATAAGGTGCTCATAAGCAGCAGCACTTACCCAGGGACATCCTCATCCCGCGGACAGAGCCCCTCAGGGCGTGCAGATCAGGGTGCTGCAGGGAAGACGGGGTCGCTGGCTGGTGCAGCTGGTGGGGGACCAGCAAAGCCATCCAAGGGAGAGCTGTCATCTGCCTCCGGGAGAGCCGCACAGCCCACGAGGCCTACGCAGAGAAAAGCGTGGGGCTTTAGTACAAGGACCCGGCAAAGGAGCCTGGAGTTAGCCCTTCTGGAGCCCCGAGAGCGTCCTCCATTTAAACCTCAGCCAACTGGTCTGTAAAATGGAGGTTTAACACCTACTTCTTAAAGGTTATTGAGGGGAAAATGAGTTAACGGCTCCAAGGGCGTGGCACAATGACTGACTCTGCAAGCAACCGACAAACAGCTGTGGGGGCTTCCAACGTCAGGGGTCGGAGTTCGGGGTCGGGGGAGTGAAAATTCCTGGGGTCTCTCGCGCCCCTCAGCCCGCGTGCAAGGCCCCGGGCACAACGTTGCCGAGCCGTTTCTCTAGGGGCACTAGGTCTTCCCGCAGGGACGGTGCGCGGACCAGGGGGTCTGACGTCCGCATGGGGTTGGCTCAGCCCAGCGGCGGCCGAGGGCGCGGCTCACCCGCCAGTCTCTTTCCCGAGGCCACGCGAATCCCGAGGAGCCCACCCGGCGCGGGGGACGGAACACTGCACCAGGGGCTGGGCCTGGCGTCCGGCCGGCTCTCCCCACTTCACTCGGGGCCTCAGTTTCCCCTTTTGTCAGGGAGGAGGTACACAGCACAGGCCTTAGGAGGCCGATGGGGGTTCCTGGAAAGATCACGCCTCGGGAGCGGCCTCTTCAGTGACTCATCCGGGGCGCCAGGACGGATGGCGGCGGGTTCAGAGGTAACCGCGCGGCCGGGGGGAGCCGAAGGGCAGAACGCAGGTTGCAGCTGCAAGACACTCTCCAGCGCTCAGCGCCAGCGGAAACACAGCGGGGCGCGCGGCTGCAGCCTAGAGCGGCGCTTCCGCCGGCCCCCGCCTGCGCAGACGTGCCTGCAGCGCCCCCTGGCCGGACGGAGCTGCAATTATGTCCCTTTGCTAACAATCTTTCCAAGCATTCATTACATAAAGGAGCATCCCTTCCATGAAAACACCCAGCGGTCGTGAAACATCAGCTTCCATTTGAGGACACAGTGAAAAGATGTATAGCCATCAGTCTATAACCCAGGAAGTGGGTTCTAACCACTTCCTGGTTTACCAAATCTGCTGGTGCTTTTGATCTTGGACTGTTAGCCTCCAGAACTGTGAGAAATAAATTTCTGTTGATTATAAGCCACCCAGTTGATGACGGCGCTTTGTTATAGCAGGTCTGCTGGCAAATAGGTCATCCTGGACCATGGCCAACCTGGTGTCAACACACCTTCCTCTCCAAGCAAACAAACAAACATAGAAAAAAATCCTCTTCAAACATACATCCCTTCTAGCATTGGCAAGAGTGTGTCTGCAGTCTTGTTTTGTTTTTGACGTCAGCAGACAAAGGGTTAGCCACTGAGAATATAAAGGATCATCCATTGAGAATAGACTGTTCTTTGAATGCTGTAACAAAGGCTGTCATAACACATGCATTTCAAGAGCTCATCTTGCTGCCCTGTTTGCTGGAATCCCTCACTGTGTAGACCAGTGTCACAGATGGGAAAGTCAACCTGGATAAGCAAAATGCCCACGAGGCTGTATGCAACCGCCAAACCCTCAGTGGAATTTCTTAATAACTGGTCATTGAGGACAAGTTAAGGAAAAGGCTTGGGCTTTCAGATACAATGTGTTGGTGACAGAAACCTAATTTATGCTTCAAAAATAAAATACAAGATTGGAAAATAAGTTTTCTGGCCTAGAGCGGTGCTTCCACCGGCCCCCATCTGCAAAGATGTGCCTGCAGTGACCCCTGGCCAGACAGGGCTGCAATTCTGTCCCTCCACTTATGCCCTTAATCCAAGCGTAATCTAGTGAGGGGAAGGGCAGAGGTCAAACTGGGCCTCCAAGACAGCAAACGCCAGAACTGGAATTCCATCCCTGTCCTGCAACTCTGCCTCTCTTTCTGAGTGGACTTCTGACTTCACATTCGCTCTGGTTTTGGCTTACAATGAGGGACATATGCCACATTGACCCAGGGGAACATCTCCATTCTGCTTGCACTGAGGGTAGGCAGGACTGCCACGTCTGGTTGTGCAGGTCGTGTACTGCACACCTCGTGGGAGCACCATTCACGTCCTAGCCTACGGTTGAGAAGCAGAGATGCCAGGGGTGCTTGGGCAAGCTGATGACACAGAAAACACTTGACTTAAAGGAAAGAAGGTGTTTTCTCTAGCATCTTCTTCTCTGGTGCAGCAGAGTCACCCTATGTTACACCATCTAATCCTTAAATGATGGTCCTTCTAATAAAGGCCCTTGAAAATATCTCTGAAGGGCCACACTTTCGAGGGATTCTTTTTCTCCAAGCTACTTGAGATCAAGTGGAAGACTTTAATTAAAGCTGTGACAGTGAAACCTTCGCAGGCTCATTAGACAAAAAGAAAGGTTTGCAAGCAGTAGGGGGCTTTCTGAGAACTGCTATTCTGAACTCTACCAACTGTTGCCCAGGCTGGAGTGCAGTGGCACGATCTCAGCTCACTGCAACCTCTGCCTCCCAGGTTCAAGAGATTCTCCTGCCTCAGCCTTCTGAGTAGCTGGGATTACAGGCATACATCACCATGCCTCACTAATTTTAGTATTTTTAGTAAATTAGCCAGATTGGTCTCAAACTCTAAACTTTGGGTGATCCACCTGCTTCGGCCTCCCAAGTGCTGGGATTACAGGTATGAGCCACCGCGCCCAGCTTGATTTCTACAACCTTTGAGACTCGAGCTCTCCATTCTCAAAATTGCTTTCTGGGCCAAGGATAGACGCTTTCACCCTTTCTGAAGCTCTGGGAGGAGTCACCCATCTCTGAGGTCCCTCATCTAATTTGTCTTGAGTGTGGGCTAGGACGTGTTGAGGCTATACACCTCTCAGGGTGTCTGTGCTTTGCTTGTTCCTGGGATGCTTGGCCAAGTCCCCACTCCTTCCTGAGTAGGCTCACCGGCAGGCCCTATCCAGCAAGGCTGCGTGTATGGTGGGGGTGGGAGGGCAGGCTGCAACAGAGGTAAAAGAAGGGGGAACAGGTGTCAGGGAGCCTGCAGGTGGTCACATCCAGCTGTCCCCATTGATGAAGATGCAACTGATTTCCACCTGCCCGACTCTCGTGTCCACCTCCCTGCAGTGGTGGGGTCAGAAGGCACTCACTGGGGCCAGGACTTTCCACCTGAAGTCTGTCAATTTTTTTTTTTTTTTGAAACAGGGTCTTGTTCTGTCATCCACTTGCATTGCAGTGGTGCAATTATGGTTCACTGCATCCTCGACCTTCCAGGATCAAGCGATCCTCCTGTCTTAGCCTACTGAGTACCTGGGACTACAGGTGCGTGCCACCAGGCCCTGCTAACTTAAAAAAATTTTTTTTTGTAGAGATGGGAGCATTCTATGTTGCCCAGGCTGGTCTCCAACTCCTGGTTTCAAATGATCCTCCTGCCTTGGTCTCATATTCAGTCCATAACATCTAGCAAAGGATTTTGAGATCCTGCTCCACAGCACCAACGTATACTTCCTATTGATGCACTTTCAGCTGAGATCACAGGTGCAAGCCCCCAGGCCTGGCCCTGTGCTCATGTTCTGCTTTTGGTATTTCATTAATTTTATTTGTTTTGTTTTATTCTGTTTTTTGAGTCAGAGTCTCACTCTGTTGCCCAGGCTGGATTGCAGTGGTGCTATCTCAGCTCACTGCAACCTCCGTCTCCTGGGTTTAAGTGATTCTCCTGCCTCAGCCTCCCAAGTAGCTGGGATTACAGGTGCCCACCACCATGCCCAGCTAATTTTTGTATTTTTAGTAGAGACGGAATTTCACCATGCTGGTCAGACTGGTCTCGAACTCCTGACCTCAAATGATCCACCCACCTCTGCCTCCCAAAGTGCCGAGATTACAGGCATGAGACACTGTGCCTGGCCTGTAATCTCAATTGTCCTGTTTTGTTGTTGTTATTGTTGTTGTTGTTCATTTTTTTAAAGCCCTCAAGAGCCCGCAGCAGACTGGGACACAAGGAATTTTTTTTACATTTCAGAATTAAGCGAGTGCTCTCCTGTTGCTACAATGAGCATTTCTCTTTCTTCTTTTGTATCACATTTAAAGATCATCTATTACAGGCCATGTGATGAGATGGGAAATACTGCCCCATCCGGTTCTTAACTCATCCACATACCAGCGAAGGGGTCCACTCCCCATCCCTGCCGCCTCTTCCTCTTCTTCCTCTTTCTCCCCTAAACCCTTAACAACCTTTCTATTGCAACTGTGAGGGACTTCTATTTGAGCACTTCAAAAACCCACCAACAGCCAGATGCAGTGGCATGCAAATGTAGTCCTAGCTACTGGGGAGGCTGAGGCAGAAGGATCCCTTGAGGCCAGAGAAGCATAGCAAGACCTTGTCTCCAAAAAAAAGAGAAACCCACCAAGGTCCAAGCATGATGACTCACACTGGCAATCTGAGCACTTTGGGAGGTTGAGGTGGGAGGATTGCTTGGGCCCAGGAGTTGGAGACCAGCTTGGACAACATAGTGAGACCTCCTCTCTACAATTTTTTTTAATTAGCCAGGTGTGGTGGCATGTGCTTGTAGATCCAGCTACTTGGGAGGCTGCGGCAGGAGGATCACTTGGGCCCAGAAGGTTGAGGCTGCAGTGAGCTCTGATTGTGCCACTGCATTCCAGCCAGAATAACAGAGCAAGACCATGTCTCAAAAAACAATAACAAACAAACAGAAAACCACCAAAGGACACCACCTCCAAAAAGCCATCTGTCTTTGGAAATCCTATCACCATCACTATACATACCCAATGTTGTATGTATTCATATGCTCAGTTGTTAATTTCTGTGCAATTCACCTGGCTAGTGAAATGTTACCTCTTCTGTGCAGGGCTCATGCTCTGTGAGCCTCAGCCATCCCTTGAGTAATTAACCTTGTCCTGGGGAACAAATAGTCCTAGATACACACAGCCTAATTTTTGCTAAGTCAAGCCAAGGAAGGCCAAACAAAATGACAGCTCATGATGCCCCAGAGGCTTGAAAGTGTTCACAGAAGTCAAATGTGAAAAAAGCACAAGGGTTTCCAAGGATGGAGATGGACCCTCCAAAAACAGGAGTGCTCTGTGCAGTTCCCCACCCTGTGCTATTGATGACCAAGACTCAGGCAGCTGATGATCACTTTCTAATGCAGACACAGAGAGAGAGCCATGTGTGAGACAGGGTGGGAGGCAGATGCCCACGGCCAGCGTAGGAAAGAGCAGCCCAGTGAGCATGGAGCCCAGCAGCAGCCACCCCGACCTCCAAATCCGTCAAATTTCCCTGGTGGGAGGAATGAAAGGGAACACACTTCTGGTAAAAGAGAGGGGAGAATCTTGGCTCTGGAAAAGATCAGGATTGTAGTTATGAGAACAATGGCAACAATGGTGGGAACTCCTTTCCCTCACAGCTTCATTTTTGGGATGATTAAACTGAGGTTAAGAATAGGACACAGAACTAGATCACGGCAGAGGGGATTGGGACCCAAGTGTCTCTAATGCTCCATCATTGTTATTTTATTTTTAAATTTTTATTTTATTTTATTTTATTTTATTTTATTTATTGAGACAGAGTCTTGCTCTGTTGCCAGGCTGGAGCACAGTGGCGCAGTCTCTGCTCACTGCAACCTCCGCCTTCCGGGTTCAAGCGATTCTTCCACCTCAGCCTCCCAAGTAGCTGGGACTACAGGCGCGTGCCAAATGCCCAGCTAATTTTTGTATTTTTAGTAGAGACGGGGTTTCACCGTATTGGCCAGAATGGTCTCCATCTCTTGATGGCGTGATCCACCCACCTTGGCCTCCCAAAGTGCTGGGATTACAGGCATGAGCCACCACGCCCTGCCTAAAATTTTATTATTTTATTTATTTTTAAATTTAATGTACTTTTATTGTTTCATTTATTTCATTTTTTGAGATGAAGTCTCACTCTGCTGCTCAGGCTGGAGTGAAGTGGTGTGATCTCGGCTCACTGTAATCTCTGCCTCCTGGGTTCAATCGATTCTCCTGCCTCAGTCTCCCAAGTAGCTGGGATTACAGGTGCCTGTCACTACACTGGACTAATTTTTGTATTTCCAGTAGAGATGGAGTTTCACCATGTTGGTCAGGCTGATCACAAACTCCTGACCTCAAGTGATCCACTTGCCTCATTTTCCTGCAGTGCTGGGATTACAGTGCTCAGCCACCTTGCCTGGCTCATCTACCTGTTTTCTTTTCCTTTCTTTTCTTTTGAGACAGAGTCTTGCTCTGTCACCCAGGCTTGAATGTTGTGGCACGATCTTGGCTTACTGCAACCTCCACCTCCCAGTAAGTGATTTTGCTGCCTCAGCCTCCTGAGCAGCTGGGACTACAGGCAGGCACCACCAAACCCAGCTAATTTTTGTATTTTTAGTAGAGACAGGGGTTTTACCGTATTGGCCAGGCTGGTCTTGAACTCCTGGCCTCGTGATTCACCCGTCTCAGCCTCCCAAAGTGCTGGGATTACAGGCATGAGCCACCGCGCCCAACCCATCTACCTGTTTTCTAAAACAGCATGCTGCTGCCAAGCTCCATAGATGCCCCCATCGCGCCCCCAGGAAGTGCTCATCACCCACATGGACTCCCGAAAGACACAGTAACAGAGGAGCAGTAGGAAGCTGAGGAGGAGAATGGACAGATACAACAGAATCTGCAGCATGGTGGTCACTGGTAGCCTGGGGGTGGGGTCTGGAGCACCCGCAGGCCTTGCATGGTCAGTTGCTGACTTCCCACCTAGATTTTGGGCGCCAACTCCTTGGAACAAGCTGTCCAGCCAGCCATGACTTCATCTCTTTTGGCAAGGGGCTCCAGGCTCCAGGGATGTCTCAGCAGCCACTATGAGGTCACAGACTTCCCTCAGTGGAATCTTGTCTTCCCAGCTACAGTCCAATCCTCCATTAATGCAACCAGTATGTTGAAAGCAGGACTTCTGATATGTCTGCTTAGACTTGCTAAGTGGAAGTATCTCTCCCCTGCTCCTAGAAAAATATCAGGCCGAGGCCTTAGAATTTTTCTGATCATTCTTAGTAATAAAAAGTCTTGCAATTGCTAAAAATAGAAAACAGTTTCTATTCAACAATTTTATTTTATTTTATTATTTTTTAATAGTGCACCAGGAGGGCCAGGTGCGGTGGCTCACACCTATAATTTCAGCACTTTGGGAGGCCAAGGTGGACAAATCACAAGATCAGGAGTTCGAGACCAGCCTGGCGAATATGGTGAAACCCCGTCTCTACTAAGTAATAAAGAAATTAGCCAGGAGTGGTGGTGCACACCTGTAATTCTAGCTACTTGGCAACAGATCGAGACTCCATCTCAAACAAACAAACAAACAAACAAACAAACAAAAACTAACCCACCAGGATTAGTTCAGGATCTGTTGTTGAATCCATTCAAGTACAAATGTTTAGTCTAGTGCATTGTTATGTTTTCAGTGATCTTTCATAGGCAAGACTTCCCTCCTCTTCACCAGCTTTCTCAGAAACACTGAAACATGGCAACTACTAGGCCTTGGATATTTGTTCTGTGCTACGGTCTTGATAGAAATCATTTTATTTAATTGTCACAGCAACACAATGAGCAGGGAACTATGACTTTGCCTATTTTCCAGAAGGCTGGACGGAGAAGTTAGGTCACTTAGCCAAAGTCACATGGAGAGTGACAGCAAGAGCAGGAGGCAAAGAGGACACCAGGGCTGTGTGACCACAAGTGTGTCACCTGACCCCCTGCCCAGTGTTCTCTTGGTCACAGCATCTGTGTTAGTCCATCCTCACGCTGCTACAAAGAACCTCTCGACACTGGGTAATTTATAAAGGAAAGGGGTTTATTTGACCTACAGTTAAGCATGGCTACGGAGGCCTCAGGAAATTTACAATCATGGCAGAAGGGGCAGCAAACACGTCTTTCTTCACATGGTGGCAGCAAGAAGTATCCAGCAAAAGGGGGAAAGCTCCTTATAAAACCATCAGATCTCATGAGAACTCACTCACTCTCATGAGAACTCACTCACTATCACAAGAACGGCAGCACAGGATAACCGATCCATGATTCAGTTACCTCCCATAATGACAACACGTGGGGATTATGGGAAGCACAGCTCCAGATGAGATTTAGGTGGGGTCACACCAAACCATAGCAGCATCCCACAGCCCCTCCGCATCACAGAGACCCCCAATGTTCTCACAGTCTTGGAATTCCATAGGCTTCTCCCAGGTACAAAATATGGAGCGGATCTCCCCTCACGGACTCCCATTTCCTTCATGATTGCATAGGTCAGGCCTGGATTTCCTCGTTCTTCTGACCTTTTGAGTACCAAGAACCTGACTGCAGGGGTGGGGGCTCCTGCTCAGGCCCGAGGGTAGGCTGCTTGCACTCCAGAACATGGGCAGAGGCAGTAGCAGGGCTGTCTCAGGCGCAAGAGGCTCACCCTGCCCAGGATGCAGGCAGTGCCAGTGCTTATGAGGATCTGTGGGCCATGAGTCCCTTCCCAAGATGGTCTCCAGTACGCTGTAGGGAACATGGGATATCTGTCTATAGTCTCCGTCACTGTGCAAATCTGATCAGGTTCCTCAAATGCAAATCTGGTCAGGTGTCTTCTGCTTCAGAGATTCTTTCCACCCTCCCCGTGTACTTTGAGGCTGGTGTTTAGCAAAGCAATGATCCCCTGTGTACCTCTCTGGGCTCATCTTCTCACCCTCACATTCCAGTCTCAGGCCAAGACTCAGTCATCTCAGTCTGACATTGTTCAGAACAAAAAGGAATGCGAGGGTGGGGGTAGAATTCATTCATTCAACTGTGCCAGCCACTGAAGTAGGTATTGAGTACAGTGGTGAATCAAAGGCAGATGCGTTTGGAACCTTGCAGAAAGAAGTCCAAACTAAGCACAGTCCCCTTATCGTAGTAACAGCGCCTATCATGGGAAATTGGCCATTCCTACAGAATAATAATGAACCAGTAACCGAGGAACATCTTCAGAACAAACAGAAAAGCAAAGCAAGTGAGGGAAGTTTACTTCTAAACTTTCCACACTGCTTTCAGAAATATCCCAAGTCCTCCAGAGTCTGACGTTGAGCTCCTTTGCCCGCCAGGGGACGCTGCAGGGCTGCTCGCGTCGGTTCCGCCCGCTCTAGGCCGCAGTCCGCGCTCTCAGCTGTATTTCCGCCCGCGCTAAATGAGCGTGGTTTCCTAGTCTTGTGGCTGTGGTCCTTCGCTGTCCCGCGCCATCGCACGCCATCGCAAGCTGCCGCACGCCATCTCTCGAAATCTGCAGACATCCTGATTTTTCCCGCGTTGTCTGCCACGCCTCCGCAGCCACTCGACGCCAGGGCGCCGGGTAAGTCAACAGCGGGGCGCGTTGTCTGTGTTACTCTCACCATCGGGGAAACTGAGGCCCCGGGGAAGGCGGCCAGAGAGGTCAGGCCCGGTCCCTGGTGCAGTGCTTCGTCCCCTCTGCCGGAGCGAGCCCCCCGGGATTCGCGTGTCCTCTAGAAAGACACTGGCGGATGAGCCGCGCCCTGGGCCGCAGCTGTGCTGAGCCGGCCACGTGCAGACATCAGACCCCCCTGTCGGCGCAGCCACTCTGCGGGGAGACTTAGTGCCCCTGGGTGGCGGGAAACAGGGCTCGGTGACTTTTCGCTGCCCGCCCCCGACTCCTGGCATTGGAAGCCCCAAAACCACTTGTCGGTTACTTACAGAGTGTTAGTGATTGTGCCGTGTCCTTGGGACCGTTAACTCATTTCCCCCTGAATAACTCTTTTTTGTTGTTGTTGTTTTGTTTTTTGTTTTTTTTTGTTTTTGAGACGGAGTTTCGCTCTTGTTACCCAGGCTGGAGTGCAATGGCGCGATCTCGGCCCACCGCAACCTCCGCCTCCTGGGTTCAGGCAATTCTCCTGCCTCAGCCTCCTGAGTAGCTGGGATTACAGGCACGTGCCACCACGCCCAGCTGATTTTTAGTATTTTTAGTAGAGTCGGGGTTTCACCATGTTGACCAGGATGGTCTCGATCTCTTGACCTCGTGATCCACCCGCCTCTGTCTCCCAAAGTGCTGGGATTACAGGCCTGAGCCACCGCGCCGGGCTCCGTGAATAGCTTTTAAAAGTAGTTGTCAGATGGAGTCAAAGAAGATCACTTCGGAGCTTTAGAAAATAAATAAATAAATAAATAAAAGTAGTTGTTAGAACCTCTGTTTAACAGGCCAGTTAGCTGAGGTTTAAATGGGAGACGCTCCCAGGACCCTAGTGGGACAGTCTGGATTTCTGTCCCTGGGCCTTGTACTAAAAGCCCCTTCCCCGTGCTTTTCCCTACCTAGGCCTTGTGGGCTGTGCGGCTCGTCGGACGGCTTCGCACCAGCCAGCGCCCCGTTCTCTCCTGCAACACTTTGGTCTGCACCCCCTCAGGGGCTTCCAGTGTCCCTGCATACATGATGCAGCTTATGCACACCTTCGGGGCCCAGTAGAGGGGATAGTCAGAGCTCAGCCAATTCTGGGTTCTGAGAACTGTCTGCCAAAGCGGATGCAGAGCAAAGCTGATGTAGGAGATAGGGGCTGGGCTTGGGGGTCATATCCTGGCTAAGTTCCTTCATTCTCCTGAGGTTGGTTTTCCGTAAAGTAGAGAAACTGCAAAAGCTCTCTGAGGGCAGAGGCTTGGCTATTTTTCTTGATTTTGAACCCATGGTGCCTGGCCATGTGTAGCTAACTCAGAATTGGTGGGCTGAATGTACAGCCGAGGCATTATTACTGGAAGTCGGTTTTCCTTTGGACTCTGGGTGGGGACACATGGTATCTGTCTGTAAAGTAATGATGGCTCTCAGGGTCCTGGGTACCTTTCTCTTCCCTGGGGGTGACCCCCCCTCTGGAGATCTGGCAATTAACACGCTAAGGTGGGCTCACCTCCCCTTTACTGCCCCTGTATTCGAAAGTGATCGTGGGCTGCCGGTGCCCTGGTCATTGATAGTGCAGGGAGAGAAATCGCTGAAAGCACTTCCCCGTGTTTGGAGGGTCCACTCCTGTCCCTTCCAAACTCTGGAGTTTTCTCACATCTCTTTCTCACCATCTTTCAGATGCCTCCTGGCACTTGGTGTCTGATTATTATTGAGTGCTCAGTGCAAGGCTGAGCAGGGCCCATTGCAGGGGTCTGGGAGGCACTCACCAAGTTGTATGGGGGTGAGTCCCTGCCTCAGGGAACGAATGATCGGTGGTGGAGCCACAGCCCCTGCGCCCCTGTGCCCGTCTCCCCCCCCCCCCACTAGTCACACCCTGTGGCAATTACTGGTTTGATTGTCTTTGGTTCTTTCTATTGTGACCTTGAGGGCAGTATCTGAGTTTTTGTTTAATATTTTATTGTATTTTATTAGAGACAGGGTCTCACTCTGTTGTCCAGGCTGGGGTGCAGTGGTGTGATCATAGCTTGAACTCCTGGACTCAAGTGATCCTTCCACCTCAGCCTCCTGAGTAGCTGGGACAGACAGGGTCTTGCTCTGTTGCCCAGGCTGGTCTTGAACTCCTGGCCGCAAGTGATCCTCCCTCAGTCTCCCAAAGTGCTGGAATTACAGGTGTGAACCACCTCGCCTGTCTCAGTATCTGAGTCTTGGTCTCTTGACTTAACTGGTGCTTGGCAGATGGTTGATTTTCAGCAGTTACAGAACAAATGGAAATCAGGAGTTGGGCCAGGTGTGGTGGCTCACGCCTGTAATCTGGGAGGCAGAGGCGGATGGATCACTTGAGGCCGGGAGTTCGAGACCAGCCTGGCCAACATGGTGAAACCCCATCTCTACTGAAAAATAGAAAAATTAGCTGGGTGTGGTGGCAGGTGCTTGTAATTCCAGCTATTCTGCAAAGTGATGACAGGCTGCTTGTGTCTTGGTTATTAAAGGAAAAGTTGGTAATAAAGGAAAAGTTATAAGGTTTTCCTCTTGTGTAGAAGAGCTGTTGTCCATTTCAGACGGGGTGGCGTTGGGGCACTGTGTCAGTGACCCAGGGTGGGCTAGACAAGCTGTCAGCACGTTCACCTCCTGACACCCTGATTCCCCAGGTATGATTTCTGTGGGTGAATGCAGTGGGTTCCTGGACTTGTCATAAGTAGTGCTGCATGCATCAGTCACATGTTGGCTTTTTCTTCTCTCAGGAGTGTCACACGACTGCTGCCCCATGCATGTGAGATAAGTCCTCTGGCATGTCATGGATCCTGAGGTTCCAGGTAAGTGGGGTCCTGACTGGTTCTCTAGAGCTCAAGTTCTCTGCAGGCTGTGAGGCCAGAGGTATTTGGGTGCTGGGGAGTAGGGGGTAAGGACACAGGTGAAGGTGGCTTCCCTTTACCATCCCCCCACCCCCGTCTTTCCCCCCTCAGCAGGCAGGGACAAGTCTGGGCCTTCTTCTGCCTTCATGGGGTTGCTGCTGAGAAGGTGCTCCCTGAACTTGATTTGAGAGTCCTCGAGAAAGACGCTGTGATGTTGAGAGGAAAACTGTTGGAAGGGACAGAAGGAGCTGCATTTCAGATTCAAGCCTGGAATCCAGTGGCTGGCTGAGTGGGCTTCTGTGAGCCTCAGTGGAAACAATGTCAGATAGTCAATATTGGTACCCCTCCAACCCACTCTTTTATTTATTTTTGAGACAGTCTTGCTGTGTCGCCGAGGCTGGAGTGCAATGGCGCAATCTCAGCTCACTGCAACCTCCGCCTCCTGGGTTCAAGTGATTCTCCCCTCCTCAGCCTCCCGAGTAGCTAGGATGACAGGTCCCTGGCACCATGCCTGGCTAATTTTTGTATTTTTAGTAGAGATGGAGTTTGCCATGTTGGCCAGGCTGGTTTCAAACTCCTGACCTCAGGTGATCTGCCTGCCTTGGCCTCCCAAAGTGCTGGGATTATAGGCGTGAGCCTCTGCACCCGGCCAGCCCAGTCTTCTAGAAGAACCCCAGGATTCTCAATATCTCTACCCATGTTTGCCTCCCTTTCAGCTCCTGGCAGGGAGTGGTAAATGATATCTGGGAATCATTAGCAGCTCCTATAATCTTAGGCTGTAAGTCTGGTCATTGCCCTCTTAACTGTTCTGTTCCAGGTAAGTCCATTGCCCAGAATACTGGCATTGCCCTTCTTTCTGGGCTTGGCCTCTGCCCTTTCTGCTCCTGCATTCGAAAGTGAGCATGGGCTGCCCGTGCCCTGGTCATTGGTAGTGCAGGGAGAGGAACTGCCGAGAGCATTTCCCTGTGTTTGGAGGGTCCACTCCTGTCTCTCCCAAACCCTGGGGCTTTCCCACACCTCCTCCCTCCCACCGCCTCTTAGATGCCTCCTGGTGCCTGGTATCATCTAGTGGGTTGTGTTGCTCTTCTCCCTGGCTCAGGGCAGCTTACTGTGAGACATGAGGGAAGGGTGTGGGGTGATGGGTTTGGCTTCAAGGAGTGGAACGGCTGGGTGTGGAGCTGAGGCTGGGCTGCCCTGCGCCTTCCTCCCAGAAACGTTTTCCGCCTCCACGCGTCTCCTTCTGCATCCTTAGCCAACCCCCTCTACACCGCGCTGACCCCGTGGAAGTTGTGGCCTGACTTGTCTCCTGGCTGTCTTTGCTGTGGTCTTAAGAGCAGGGTCTGAATTTTGTTCCCTGCTTTGTTCTGTCTGCCAGATGGTCAGTGCTCTGACAGTGTGGGACAGGAAACACAGCAGCCTGGGCAACCTCGCCTCCATAAGAACTAAACAATTGGCCAGGCATGGCTGTGCTGCATGCCCCTGTAGTCCCAGCTACTCAGGAGGCTAAGGCAGGAGGCTCTCCTGAGCCCTGGAGGTCAAGGCTGCAGTGAGCCGTGGTCACGCCACTGTCCTCAGCCTGGGCAAGAGTGAGACCCTGTCTCAAGTAAGAAACACAAGAAAGGGAGAGCCCCTCCATTGTAAGGTGATTGGGTTCACTGCATTTCGGGGTGTTGGAGGGAAAAGCGGAGTCAGCACCTGTGTGGGATTGGCGGGAGCAGATTTGGTGTTTTCTGCCCCTTAGAGAATTCTGAGGAAATGCATTGGCGTGAGTTCCCAGCTCTTAATTCCTCTGCCTTTTGTGCTGGCCTTCATGCCTCCCCTGAGGATGACTGGTTCTCAGGTTTCCCCTGGAGGCCTGGGGAGAGTTGTAAGATCAGGAACGAAGCTGGAGAGGGAGGGCCAAAAGGAAGTCACTGAGGCAGCTGCCTTCCAGCTGGTCTACCCTAGTGAGAGGTCGTTATCTTCCTGCTGAACGTTGGTTAGTGGGATGTGTTACAACAAGTAATGTGTGCGGCTTCTTGTCATTGCAGGATTGTCAGCTGACCTCTGTCCTGTGTGCCCAGCGGCCCCAGCGGCCCCAGGTGATGTGTCTTCAAGAAAAGGCTGAACTGTGGTGCTTGTAAGGTCTGACTCCTGGGTGCTTCTCTGGAGAATGCATGATGCATGGATGTTCAGGCTGCAAGGACAAAGGCTTTGAGGTCACTGGAGGGGAGGCAGGGGCTGCTTCCCATTGCTTGCCCCTCCACTGAGGCCTCCGGGGACATGTGGCCCTCCCGTCTTTTCCTCCCCTGGCACTCTACCGCTAGATTGTGCCACTGCACTCCAGCCTGGACGACAGAGTGAGACTCCATTAAAAAAAAAGGTGCAAGTTCTTAGACCCTGTCCCGGGCCTACTAAATCAGAAGTTTCGGGGCTGCAGCCAGCAATCTGGCTTAACATGGTCTCCAGGTGTGAGAATCAGAAGCAGCTGCTCCAATTCTAGGCTGCAAATCTGGTCACTGGCTTATTTCCAGGTCTCTTAGTTTGGGCCCTTCCTTAGCTGCTGGCAGTGCCTCCCCTCTCAGCTCACTCACTGCCCTGTTTTGCCCCTGTATTCGAAAGTGATCATGGGCTGCCCGTGCCCTGGTCATTGATAGTGCAGGGAGAGGAGTCAATGAAAGCGCTTCCCCGTGTTTGGAGGGTCCACTCCTGTCCCTTGCAAACTCTGGAGCTTTCGTACATGTGTTTATTCTCACCAGTGATGTTACCTCTTGGTACCTGGTTGTCATGCTAGACCCCTGTTGAGACGGAGTCTTGCTCTTGCCCAGGCTGGAGTGCAGTGGTGCAAACGTGGCTGACTGCAACCTCTGCTTCCTGGGTTCAAGTGATTCTCGTGCCTCAGCCTCCTGAGTAGTTGGAATTAAAGATGTGTACCACCACGCCTGGCTAATTTTTATACTTTTAGTAGAGATGGGGTTCCACCATGTTGGCCATGCTGGTTTTGAACTCCTGGCCTCATGTGATGCACCTGCCTCAGCCTCCCAAAGTTTTGAGATTACAGGCGTGAGCCACTGTGCCCAACCTGTTTTAAAATTTTTTATTGTCTATATTTGAAGTTTACAACATGTTACAGAATAATGGGACAGATAGAGATAGCACAGTGGTTACTGTGGTAAAGCAGATGAACGTTATCTGTCATCTCACGGTCACCGTTTTTAGTATGTGTGAGGAGCAGCTGAAATCTACCTGACAGAAATCCCTGATGTTGTGCATGAGACCTCCAGGCTTACACATCCTGTGTATCTGCTACTTGGTGTCCTTTAACCTACATCTCCCTATTTCCTCCCACTCCTGCCCATGGTAATCACCATTTTATTCTCTATCTTTGTATATTTGACCTTTTTTTAAAAAAAAAAAAAAACATCGTACACATAAGTGAGATGTGCACTGTTTGTCTTTCTGTGTCTAGTTTATTTCATTTAACATCATATTCTCCAGGTACATCCACGTTGTGGCACATGACATGATCTTTCTCTCTCTCTTTTTTTTTTTGAGACAAGGTCTCCTGTCACCCAGGCTGAAGTGCAATGGTGCGATCACAGCTCACTGCAGTCTCGGTCTCCTGGGCTTAAGTGATCCTCCCACCTCAGCCTCCTGAGCGGCCGGGACTGCAGGTGCATGCCACCATGCCTGGCTAATTTTTGTATTTTTTGTAGAGATTGGGGTTTTGCAGTGTTGCCCAGGGCAGTCTCCAACTCCTGGGTTCAATCCATCTCCTTCTGCCTTGGCCTCCAAAAGTGCTGGAATTACAGGCAGGAGCCGCTGTCCAGCCAGGCTGGAGTGCAGTGGCGTGATCTTGGCTCACTGCAGCCTCCACCTCCCAGGTTCAAGTCATTCTCCTGCCTCAGCCTCCTGAGTAGCTGGGATTATAGGTGTGTGCTACTATGCATGGCTCATTTTTTGTATTTTTAGAGATGGAGTTTCACCATGTTGGTCAGGCTGGTCTTGAATTCCTGACCTCAGGTGATCCACCCACCTCAGCTTCCCAAAGACATGCCCAGCCAAGGGTCTTCTTTTTAAGGCTGAGTAACACACAAGGTTCTGGGTGTGTGTGTGCACGCGCATGTCACATTTTCTTTTTCCATTCATCTGTTGATGGACACTTAGATTGTTTCTGTGTCTTAGTGTTTGGGAGTAATGCCACAGTGAATATTGGAGTGCAGATATCTTTATTAGGTGTGATTCGACCTTCTTTAAGTATGTGTCCAGAAGTGGCTGGGTCTATTCAATATACACTGATAAGCAGCACACAGTGGGCACATAGGATAGCATAGATGCCATTTCTGTCACAGATTGTCTGCAGACCCCTTCCTAGAGTTACGTTTTTCTTGTTCCTGAGACAGTAAGTACTAATTGAGGCAGCTGTGTTTGTGGGATGCTTAAGTGTTAAGTGTTCTCTGTCTGTTGCAGATGGGCCTGCTGTGTGCAGAGGCTCCGTGGGATGTGTTGTCTTCATAGCAGCAGGGCGCTGGACCATGGGTCCCTGAGGTGAGATTTTTGGACTGTTGTCTGAAAGACGTTTTTTTGCATCCTACAAAGTCATGTGCTTGTTCCCTGGGGCTTGGATGATGTAGGGCAGGCGTCCCCAAACTTTTTACACAGGGGGCCATTTCACTGTCCGTCAGACCCTTGGAGGGCTGCCACATACTGTGCTCCTCTCACTGACCACCAATGAAAGAGGTGCCTCTTCCCGAAGTGCGGCGGGGGGCCGGATAAATGGCCTCAGGGGGCCGCAGTTTGGGGACGCCTGATGTAGGGGAATCAAGGTGAAAGTGGTATCCTATGGTTTCCCGTTCTGTCCTGCTGCGGGGCAGTCCCTCACATGCCTTCAGTGGCTGCTGCAGAAGAAGGGCCTCCAGAAATCTGCATGGGTAAAGTGAGCTCCCTGGGGGGGACCCTTCCTTCCCCGAGCGCTGGTGTGTCTGCAGTGTGCTGTGATCTGGATTAACAGTGAGTTTTTATTTCGGTGTGTGTGTGTATGATGTTAGGACCACATGCTCCTGACCTTTACCAATCCAAAAGCATTTCCATTTTTTTTAAATGCTGGAAGTGTCTTTTGATTCCTTTTGGGGTCTTAGAAGGACACGGTGGCTGGGGCTCTGCTCAGCTGGGCTGCTCTCCCTGCCTCAGGCCACCTCCCAGGCTCCTGGTGCCAGCCTTCCTCCCTTGCTGTCTTTCTGTCCTTCCCTGCTCTTGTGTTGGAAAGTGCCCGTGGGTCGTGCCCCGAGGATTGATGGTGCAGGGCTGGGAGAGCTGAGAGACATCTTCCCTGCGTTGGGCCAGCCTTTCCTTCCAAACCGTGGAGTGTTCCCACACTGCAGCCTTTCTCCTGTTAGCGCGTCAGAGTGTGGGCCTTTGTGGGCCCACGTGATGTGATGGCTAGACCCGCCCCCTGACTACTGAGGGTTCGCTTTGTCTTTCATGTTAAGGATTCTCCTACCAGAAACCAGTCTGCATTTCTCTGTGGGCCCCACACTGGAATGGATTCAGGTAGCAGTGAAGGGCACACGTGAGAACTGTGAATCATGGGCTCTGCTTCACGGAATGTGAAATGTGCATTCCTTCAGGAGCCGTCGTAACGTCGAATAGATGGAGAAAGTTGTAGGTGGGGCTAGGAAGGCTGTATGCCTGTGGATTACTCTAGCTGGTCAGTTGCCCTGATTGTGAACTGCTTGAAAGAAAAATGGAACTTCTAAGAGGTTTGTCCTTTGGTGCCCTTTCTGTTGGTATTGCAGTTGGGTGTGCGTGGATGAGGCGCGTCAGCCGGCCTGCTTGTAGGGGACCCGTCTCAGCGGTGGCAGCTTGGGGAGGAGGAGATGGCCTTGGAGACTAAATACTTGTATGTTTTCTTACCCTCTTAGGTCTCAGCCGTAGATCCAAGGATGGTCCAAGGAAGTCCTAAGACCCTGGAGTTCTGGGTTTGCTGATACTTCTCACCATGGTCAGTTGAGGCCAAGAGCCAGAACCCACAGCCAGAGGCTCAGCCGGTCTGTGTTTATGCAGTTGGGAACCTCAAATCACTGGTCTCACCTGTCCTTTGTTTCAGAATCTCTTGGTGGTGTTTGTGGACACCAGAGGGGCAGAGACTAGTGAGACCACCACATGAAGCATTTCCAGAGCTGCTCCCTGCTGCCTGCTCAGAGCAGCCTGGATCCACTATTCACTTTGCACAAGATTCCAGGTCCAGACATGGAAGACTTCAGCTGCCTCAGAGGACTGTGGACAGGGAAGGCCTGCCCCGCATCCCCCTGTCCATTCCTGGAGATCTACCTGCCTCAGCCTCCCAAAGTGTTGGGATTACAGATGTGAGCCACCTTGCCTGGCTGCTAATTTTTCTTTTAATTAAGAGACAGGGTCTTGCTACGTTGCCCAGGCTGCTCTCAGACTCCTGGGCTCAAGCTATCCTTTCCCCTTGTCCTCCCGAGTACTGGGATTGCGGGTATCAGCTACCACGCCTGGTCCTGTTTCTGGAATTTTAATGTCTCTAGTCCTTTGCCTCCAAAGCTCTCTGATGCCTTTAAAATGATGGTTTTATATTTTATCTACCCTTTCTAATTCTCAGCAGGAACATTGGCTTGTCAACTACTCCCTTCTACTTAGAAGCAGAAGTCTTGACATTAGCAGATTTTATTTAAAACTTTTTTTTTCTTTCTGTTTGGAGAACGGATTATAACGGCAAGCAGGGTGGAAGCAGGGTGACCAGTTGGAAGATTATGGCAGTTGTCTAGGTGAGATATTGGTGACTTGGACTAGGCAGGTAGAAATCTATCTTGGACTAGACAGACAGCAAGATGGATTCCAATATGTCAAGATAGAAAGGTGATCATACAGTTTTAGGTGAATGAAGCTCAGAACAGGGAAGTATGTAAAACGTGACACCAGTTTTTTTTTTGTTTTTTTGTTTTTAAAGACTTATTTGAAACCAGTCTGGCCAACATGGTGAAACCTCATTTCTACTAAAAATACAAAAATTAGCTGGGTGTGGTGGCAGGCCCCTGTAATCCCAGCTATTCAGGAGGCTGAGGCAGAAGTGCTTGAACCTGAGAGGCGGTGGTTCCAGTGAGCAGAGATCACACCATCACACTCCATCCTGGGCAACAGGAGCAAAACTCTTGTCTTAAAAAAAAAAAAAAAAAAAAAAATTTTATATAAATATATATATACACACACACAAATTGGGGTGATGTATTTTTTATTTTAACGTGCTTTTCTCTTGTTCCTTTCCCAGAACATCATAGTTTCTCTAATAAACCCCAGGCGTCCTTTTGGCTAGGGGCAAATTCGAATGCCAAAGAAGACCACAGTGTCGGTCAGCCCTGACTTTCAAAAATAGGATTATGCAATAGGACAACAGCCTTGCAAGGCGGGATTCTTCCATTTTTTTTGTTGTTGTTCCTTTATACCAATAAGCAAACTTGGAGAATCTGTTTCCATAAAATTATTCAGGGATACGAAGTAGACACTTTTGTCTACCATTAAGGCTTAGCTGAAGTCAGAAAGAATAAAGGTATAATTAGGGGTCACAAAAGGTTTTTACCTGCTGCTGTTTTTTGACCTTGAGCGATTGAGCAAGAAGGGGAACAGAAGCAGATGACAAGAGGCTAACATGGGTGTCCCCATTTCCTTTCTCTGGACTTGGAGAGGGTGCAAGTACATTAGAACACTGAGAACAAGAGAGGAGACATTAACTTTGCTTCCCATTTACCACTGCAAGAGGCCACCTCTTAAATTGCCCCCTACCCTAAACTGTTGTATAGCCATGGCAACTGGACAGCTTGGCATCATCGGGCAGAGGGAGGTATCTTAGGTATCTTAGCTTGGGCTGCTATATGACAAAATGCCATAGATTGGGTGATTTAAACAGAAAATTTTTTCAAAGCCTTGGGGGCCGGGAAGTCCAAGATCAAGGTGCTGGCTGATTCAATTTCTGGTGAGAGCTCTCTTCCTGGCTTGCAGATGGCCACCTTGCTGTTTCTCTTCTTATAAGGGCACTAATTCTATCAGATTATGGTTCCACTTTTATGACCTCATTTGACCTTAATTACCTCCCTAAAGACACTGTCTATAAATACAGTTACGCTGGGGGTTAGGCTTTGTATTAGTCTGTTCTCATGCTGCTAATAAAGACATACCTGGACTGGGTAATTTATAAAGGAAAGAGGTTTAATAGAATCACAGTTCCACATGGCTGGTGAGGCCTCACAATTATGGCAGAAGGCGAATGAGGAGTAAAGTCATGTCTTACATGGTGGCAGGCAAGCGAGCTTTTTCAGGGGAACTCCTATTTATAAAACTGTCTGATCTGAGACTACCACAAGAACCCCGATGGAGGAAACCGCCCCATGACTCAATTATCTACATCTGGCCCTGCCCTTGACACATGGGAATGATTACAGTTGAAGGTGAGATTTGGGTGGGGACACAGACAAACCATATCGGGCTTCAATATGTGACTCGGGAGTACAAAGTTGAGAGCTGCACTGGGATCCTGAATGGTCTACAGCAGCCCAGAGGTGGCTGAGGATGTGGCTGAAGCACTTCCTTGCAGGGGCCACAATACCAGAGTGAGATACCAGATCTGCACCCTGCTTAAAAATCCAGCATGTGCCATGGTGGATTGCTGGCACGTGGCAAATGTTTATTGAAACGAGCTGTTGTGCGTCTTCCTTTTGCGTGTGTAATAGGAGTGTCCTTTGTTCTCCAGTCTTCAGAAGTCACCCTTGAACATTCTCTGAATATCAGCTCCAGGTCTGTAGTAAGTCCATTTGAGTCTTCGGTAAATGCTGATACGTTTGTTCTCTTTTTCTTTCAGATGGAGTCTCACTCTCAATGCCCAGGCTGGAGTACTCTGGCTCAATCTCAGCCCAGTGCAACCTCCACCACCCAGGTTCAAGTGATTCTCCTTCCTCAGCCTCCTGAGTAGCTGGGATTACAGGCATGCGCCCCCCACACCTGGCTAATTGTTTTGTTTTTAGTAGAGAGAGGGTCTCACCATGTTGGCCATGCTGGTCTTGAACTCCTGACCTCAGATGATCTGCCCACTTTAGCCTCCCAAGGTGCAGGGATTATAGGCATGAGCCACCGCACCCAGCCAATGCTGATGTGTTCTGACAAATCCATCCTGGTGGCTGTTTGTGGTGTTTTTCTCTGAATAGCTCCATTGCTTCAGGCCTCTCTGTGGTTACCTATGGCTTCCACCTTTTCTCCCACTGCTGTTCTTTTCCTACGCTTTTTTGCTCCAAACATTCTTATGATCAACTAAAGCTGGCTCCAGGACAGCACAGGCTCCAAACTCTGGCCCGGATTTGTCTCTGCCTCAGAAGTATGTGCTGTTATGGCCATAGATGGTCATCAAGATGTCTCCTAGCTCATACAGGCAGGTCTGCTGTCAGAGGTTCCACTGGGAGAATGTAACGGTGTTCTGGAGCTTGGTCATCTCCTATCTTAGCGATCTCTCAAAAGGTCTTGCTACTCACCTGAGCACTTAGATCAGATCCTCCAGTGGCCTGAGAAGGTGTTGCTGCTTTGTGAAGGAGAAGCGATGAGAGAGAATGGGGAGAAAGAGAAGATGCTAGGAAGTGAAATAAGAAGGAAAGAGGAAAAGATGCTACAATTTAATTTAACTCGGCGCCGGGCATGGTGGCTCATGCCTGTAATCCTAGCATTTTGGGAGGCCACAGTGGGTGAATTGACTGATGAGACCAGCCTGGCCAACATATGAAACCCCGTCTCTACTAAAAATACAAAAAATTAGCCGTGCGCCTGTAATCTCAGCTACTCGGAGGGCTGAGGCCTGAGAATCTCTTAAATCCAGAGGCAGAGGTTGCAGTGAGTCACGGTCACACCACTTCACTCCAGGCTGGGTGACAGAGTGAGACTCTGTCTCCAAAAAAAAAAAAAAAAAAAAAAATTTAATTCAACTCAAGCTCGAGCGTGTATCTGAATCACCTACGTTTGTTACACACAGATTGCTGGGCCCCTCCCCTGAGTTTTTGTTTTGTTTTGTTTTTTTGAGACAGAGTCTCTTCCTGTCTCCCAGGCTGGAGTTCAGTGGCTTGATCTCGGCTCAACCTCTGCCTCCCGGTTCAAGGGATTCTCCTGCCTCAGCCTCCTGAGTAGCTGGGACTAGAGGTGCGTGCCACCAGGCCTGGCTAATTTTTTGTATTTTTAGTAGAGACGGGGTTTCACTGTGTTAGCCAGGACGGTCTCGATCTTCTGACTTCGTGATTCATCTGCCTCAGCCTCCCAAAGTGCTTAGATTGCAGGCGTGAGCCACCACGCTCGGCCTCCACTGAGATTTTGATTCAGTAGATTTGGGATGGGGACCAAGCACCCTCACTTCTTCTTTTTTGTTTTTTGAGATAGAGTCTCACTCTGTCACCCATGCTGGAGTGCAGTGGCAAGATCTCAGCTCACTGCAACCTCTGTCTCTTGGGTTGAAGCAATTCTTCTGCCTCAGCCTCCTGGGTAGCTGGGATTATAGGCACTTGCCACCACACCCAAGTAATTTTTGCATTTTTAGTAGAGATGGGGTTTTACCATGTTGGCCAGGCTGGTCTCAAACTCCTGACCTTAAGTGATCCACCTGTCTCAGCCTCTCAAAATGCTGGGATTGCAGGCATGAGCCACTGCGCTGGGGCATATTCTCATATCTAACAAATTTCCAGGTGATGCTGATACTGCTGGTCAGAGGACCACACTTTGAGAACCACTGATCTCACCCCCAAACCGGTTGAGGATGATGCACCCCATCCCAGTATAATATTTTCCTCTTCATGATGGGTAGGCAGACCTTCTCTTTCCAAAATATCCTTGCAGCCAGCAGCCAGATCCATCTGTGTGTTCATACAGTAGCAAGATGTCCAACAACTCCCTAAGGAACTTAATGAGCAACTTGGATCCAATTCTTCATTGTCTGTCAGAGGAAAGGCATCCATGCTTGGTAATGAGCCTCTGGTCGCTCTAACAGGCTCTGTGGCCAGAACAAAGCGCCTTGTCATCTCCATGACAAGGGGCCTTTTTTGTGGTGTCGGACAGAAAACCTACCGAGTCACATTCTCCCAAATAGCGCAAACTCATACCCAATGAAACAGGGGGAGCAATGGGGGGTTTTTCTACTCTCAGAAGCCTGTTTGTTTCCATCTTGGTGGTGTGGAGAGGGTGTGTGTCCCACAGGGTGCAAAGGCCTGGGACATGATGGCCACTGCTCCCTCTCACACCTCTCATCAGCACGTCGTGGACACCTGCAGAGTCCTAGACTGAACCGAGCATGCTGAGGAGTGGGGGGCCTCAGTGATGAAATGCATCCA